GCTATGGTGCGTGTGATGTTTGCGTGAGCGAACGAAGGCGACCGATCCGGCGTAGCAACTCGAGTTTTTCTTTCTTTTTTTCCACATTTCAAACCACTCTCGCTGGTCGTCATAACAGTCGCGCCTTTCCTATTTGTTACGAGGTCTACATCTAACAGCTGTAGCAAGCGCGTGTTTGTCTCATTTTTCTTTGTTATTTGTTAGTCGAATACTTTGATAGTCTCTCCGTTGCCTTACCGTGCGCCATCTACCAGGCACAGTACGGTCCTGTACCGTTATTGGCCGCGCGCGTGGTACCACCCTGGGTCGCTTATTGGCTGCGCTGGGGCCGCGGTACCGTTTCCGTGGCAGCGGTATCTGTCAGGCAGTGTGTGGTTTCGCTCCTGCTAGCGGCACATCGGTGGTACTTCGTACCAGGACGTCATCTTATCCCACCCCTCCCTCGTTGCCGGCGCCGCTAGGGCGTCCCAAGCGCGGTTAGAGGCGGGAGGCTGTGCCCCCCCCCCAACATCGATTGTGGCACTGTTGCTTATTGAGCGGCCATCCCTGGGCAACGCGTGGGGTGCCCTTTTTGTTTTGGCCGCCGTCGCCCGCGGCAACGGCTCTCGGCTTTTTTCGACGCGGCGGCCGCGGGGGGCACAACAGGTGGTCTCTGGCGCGCGGGTCGGCCGCCCCTCCCCGCGCGCTCTCAGGTCTCCCCTTCGCGGACCCTCCCTTTTATTTCGGATACCCCACATTTCTCTGCGTGTGCCCAAGTACGCGTGTTCGCTTCTCGGGCAGTTACTGGACTGAGCCCCCCTGGTGGGTGCGTGTGTGCAGGGGTCATCGCCGTTGATTCTTCACCCGACCTGCGGAAGCAGCAGCAAAGTGACCACAAGCCATGGATCACCCGGACGGTGAGTGCTGGGATCTCCTGGTCAGGGTTTAATTTGCCATGTTCACTCCTCATGCTAGCACGCTCAGGGATAACTACTGCTCTTGGCTTGTGATGTTCTACAAAAACTCACTACCCTTGTGACCTTATTATACGTTCTTGTCGTCAGTGAGCTGGCCAAGATGACATCATTCCCACTTGTAAACGGCCTGGACTGCTTGCCTAGCAAACAGGTCTTTTTGAACCAACTTCTTTGCTACCTTTGCTAATAGACCCCTGCGTCTACATAATTGGTTTATTTGTGGCATTGAAAACTTGGTGATCATATAGGTTTTACCACATGTGCTTGCTGTGTGATCTCTGCAAATAGCCACAGTAAAGGTCTTAAAGAAAAATTTGGGTTTTTAAGGCATACTTTACGAATTGTTCATCTTTAAGTGTGCAGTATAGTGTATCAGGAATACTACCGTCGGCATCTCATTGAGTTTATTGGCTTAATGTATAAGTTGGCAAAGCTATGAAGTTAAGTCTGTGAAATTAGCTTTACAAAGCATATACACTTATGCCTCCTAATGCAAATGAACCATGTTCTCCTACTCCCTGAAGTTTCAGAGTTGAAAGACTAAACTTGAGAAAATACTTTCTTAGAATTTGCATAACATTCAGGCATAACTTAATATAAATTGGTTTCTTGTGCAAGGCCACTGTTGAGCTGTCTAGGATTTTGTTGTCCAATCTGCTATGCCAAAACACTGGCACTCCTCTTTTGAGCACTAAGACAGTGGGATTTTGAACCGTGTTCACAGCCAGGCATTGTGGTCATTCTTGTGGGTGTAAGCTGCCTTGAGGTGTTTAAAAGCTAGTATAGTTAAGTTTAGTTTTTTTTAGAGTTTACACCACACACCAACCAATGTTTATTACTAGAGCTGATGAAAAGGGTAGCTGCATTTTTATAGCATTATCAGATGTTACATTAAAAATGTTTCCTTATTCTGTAGCCTAGGAAAGTGACATTTTGCTTTATACATTAGGGCTTTATACTGATTTGAGATATATAATAAGTTTAAAGTAAGTTACATAGTTATTAGTATCATCACAATGTGTAAAATATGCCTTTTTGGACGCACTTTTTCTGCCGCTAAGCTTTTCTGGTTCAGAAGCATTAATTGCTCATATTGCTCCCCATTTCAGTTTCAATTTATTGAGCGTAATTGGGTGGGGGTTACATATGGGGAGAGGTATACAGAAAGAGGTCCCTTAGTGTAAACACTGCAATGGGACTTCTTGTTATAAAAATACACAAAGAAAAAATAAAACAGGAGCAGGATGGCGTAAAAAAGCGCGAGTATGCATACAAAACAATAAGAGGCATTATGGTATGCAATAACATAGAGAATATTTGGCATGAAGTACACAGAAAGGAAACTAAAAAGTGAACTAATACAGTACAAACAAAGCAATCACTAGGAATAAACACTAATATTTCAGAAGAAAAGGAAGTAATAGAAATGGATAAAAAACATGACAATGTATGACAAAAAAAGGCAACGACAGTAACTACACATAAGTCAGAAGTTTAAAGTAGGATTCAGATAAAGGCGAACTGAATGTTTAAAGGCATTTAATGAGGGAGAGGTTTTAGTCTCTACAGGCAGAGTGTTCCATACCTTGATGGTGGAGAAGCTAAACATTTTTAGTCCGTAATAGTGTGTGCCTAGGGCAATAAGATATTGTTTTGTAAGGAGAAACGTGTATTGCTAGAGGAAGTGGTAATTTTATTGCCTACATACATAAGAGATCCGGATTATGTACCAGGCAGTAGGCAATTACAGCTAAGCTAAAGACGATCATATTTGCAATAGGAAGAATATGTAGTGAAGAAAATAGTGAGCTGAATGGGCATGATAATCACTGTGCGTTATTATGCAGAGGGCCTGTTTTTGAATATGTGCTAATGGGCTTACATAAGTTTTATATGCGAGTCCCCAAGATTCAATACAGTAGTTAAAATGACTATGAAGGAAGGCAAAAGAGAGCAGATAGTGTAGGAAGAGCAAAACATTGGCAGGCTCTGAGCAGAACACGAATACCATAGGCGGTTTTTCTTTTTATTAAACTTAATATGATGGTTGAAGTTCAAAAAACAATCAAGTTCTACACCGAGAAATGTGCATTTTTTAGAAGGAAATAGTTCATAGTTATTAACACACACCGGGAGTGCGTTATCTTGAGTTTTTGACCTAGAACTGAAAATAACAAATTTTGTCTTATAGGGATGTTAAGGCACAAACTAATGATGCTCTGAAGATCGTTTAGCTGGGAGGTTAGGGCAGTAATGGAGTCCTGAGCAATAACTATGGTGGTGTCGTCTGCGTAAAGCAAGGATTCTTTGTGAGGGGATAAACAGTCTGTCAGGTCATTTATGTATATGAGAAATAGATGAGGACCTAGTATTGATCCTTGTTGGACCCCTATATTGGTAGTTTTGGAGCCTGGAAGTGTGGTTATGAGTGCACAGGTGTAATGCACAGGTGTAATTCTAGCACTATAGAGGGCAGCATGAGCATATTGCGGAACCCATAGCAGATGTGATAACCATGCAATTCGCAATGTTTAAAGAAGCTACTAATGGCTGCAAGCCATATGTGTAAATGCTGCGTGCATTACCATAATGTTTCGCTCATGGTAGCCTAGACTATCAATCCACAGCCTTTCTCACCATGTTCAAAAGTGTCGCAGGGTTATCTTGAGAGGCGAATAGCAACCCACAGCGGCCATGATGATACTAATGCTCAAATAACCCAATGGCTGCATACTTTTAAATAGATGCTCAAATAACCCAATGGCTGCATACTTTTAAATCGAATGCGGTTGTGCTGTGCCATAATGCTCGACTCACATGTTCATTGGAGCCTAGACTATCGATCCACAGCATTTTTTTTTTTTTTACCATGTTGCAGGGTTCCTTTGGAAGGCGAATATCTCTCATCGATGCTCTGTTCTTGTTTCGCCCCTTCCTTGGGTGTAGTACTCCGATTAAATGGGCAAACATGGGGCTATAACTTTCGTTACACATGCCCTTCCAGATGTGCCAAAGGCAGTGATGCTTGTTCTATGTCACGTATTCAATGATATAGAGGCACTGATGGGTTGAGTGAAGTCTTTTTTCTTGTATATTAGAATTTTTTTATGAACAACTTCCTAGTACATGCCCTCATCGGTGCCGTTCTTGCTGCATTTATTGTTCTATGTTCGGTCTGTTCAATCTATGAATAAAAGTACAGTTCGGGCTTTAAAAGAGAACCCTTCCTAGCACTTTTTTTTTTAAGGTGTCATCTCTTTACAGGTTTACGTGCAGTGCGCAACCAATTTAACAGCCTTGTCTTTTTTTCTGGCCTAGCATAGGTGTTACTTCAAATCCTTCTTCTGTATATAAGACCATGCAAGTTTCCTTTATATGAGCTTGTGTCTTGGTTGGTTCTATAACCCGTAAATATAAGGCATAAAACTTGAAGGCTGAAAACACCGAAGTCTAGGCTTATTTTAGCATACCGGGATACACAATTTACTGAAACAACCTTTGCTTTAAAATGTAAATAAAAATAATATAAGCATTGTGCCACGTGCCTCTGACACCTTGTTTCGTAGCCATTGCCGAACGCTGCTCCTGACGGGGCATCTTGGGATGAAGACAGCTGAGACGTGTAGAAAACTTCAGTTTCACTGTGGCTATGGCAACAGTGGGTTGAACAGCATTATGAAACCCTCCAGTAGATTACTGCTATGGAGTTAGGCATCTGGCTTATCTTCTACTGCTATGGTGTATATGGCCACTGTGACTGAATTTCAGTGGGATTGAAAGGCGAAAAGATGCATGTACTGAGACTTTCGTATATGCACATACAGCATAAAAAACTCTGCATCTTTCACCCCCGTGGCCGCACACCTCAGTCAGTGCAGTTGGTACCAGAACCATTCATTCCTCCTAGACATGTGGCTACATATATGCAAAAAATAGTGTGTCAGTCCTTATGTAAGGAAGTTGTTAGTGTCCATTTTGGCTGTGTGTTTTATTAGTCAGATGTCTGGCAATGCAGCGGCCACTTTGCATTGTGTAATGCAGGAAGTGGAAGCAACAAACGGGAGTCTACTGATGACGGGCGAGCTGATGGTGAGGCTCCAAGCAAGCGTCCAAGGAACACTGGGGGAGGCCGTGCTGTTGATGTGCGCTTTCTGCTCCAGAGCAGAGTAAGGAGCCCAACACTACTGTTCGACATTTATGATGTGTTGGATTGAGTATCTGTACAGGCTTTTAGACATGGCACTTGTTGCCAGTAACTGCTGTGGTAGCTGCTGAGCACATCCGGCTACTAAAAATGGTGTTCGAGGTTGGATTTCTAGTTGCTGTAGCAGCATTCTAATGGTAGAGAAATGAGGTTCATGGTGTGAAGGAATCCCAGGAAAAGTTCACATGATGCTCTCCACCTTATGGTGGGCTGAAAAATGTTACACATCATATTTTAGTGAAATAAAGAATATGGTGACTTAGGTAAAGAAATGCAATGCAGTCAATTTTCGTTAATTCAAACTCGAAGGGATCTCTGGATTTTGTTTGAATTATCAGATGTTCTCAGATATGACTGGGTGATATGGTTAGGCATTGGTTTTATCACATTAATACAATCTTTAAGCATTTTTAAATTATAACTGCATGCAATGAAGAGAAAGCAGAGATGTAAGGTCGTGAATTGTCAACTGCTTCTTTGCTACATGTGCCTTCAGCTCAAAGCTTTCTATACCAGTTGAGAAACATTGTGGTTTACCCTGCATTTGCTTCATATCAAACATTACTAGCAAAGCCCCTTTTTTTTTTCTTGAAAACCTGAGGTGCTTATTTTTCATTTTGAGACTGTTAGGATTACATAAACATGTGAATTTTAAATAGTAGGGAAAAACCAGCAGATATTTTCTGGTATGTAACCTCAGAAAGTATGAATTAACAGAATGATAAGAGTTTGAATTAAGAGCTTACATTGAAATAGTAAAGGGCCAGCCAAAAAAAATTGAAACAAAGCAGCACGGAACTTTTTTGTGGGGAATGAAACAAAACTGAACAAAAAAAATTTCCTTCGACACTATGGTTAAAACACTGTAAACACTCTGTAATATACTTTCCAGCAAGCTAGGGGATGGCAGAAGACATGTATTGTTAATTTTGTGTGAATTAATCGAAAGTATGAATTGTCATAGCTTGAATATCATGAGTCTAGTGTATATTTAAAAACGTTTCGGGAGCCTTGTGCACAGTCTATTTTAAAGTGCTGCCTTTTACCTTGGACGACATTTTCTTTTATTTTTTTCACTGTGCTTTTCTCCAACCAGACTCTGTGCAATTCCATTAGACTCTTGGCCATAATTTAGTATTTTACTTATTCCTTCAACATCTAGCCGAAACTACTGCAGAACAATTGAATTCACAATGTATCATGTACGTCATACCACTTGTGCATTGTAATGTCGTTAGTTGACTGGGCATTTTATAATTATCACTTTAGCATAATGCAATAGCGATCTGCCTCTCTTCCTTCACACCACTCTCACCTTTTACGACGTGCTTGTTCAGCTAAGTGCTTTCTGAATTCGCTTTAATTAGGCCAAAGTTAACAGCATTTCCGTCTATATATTCTTGGCAGAATGCTGGTGCCATCATTGGCAAAGGTGGTTCCAACATCAACAGCCTGAGGAAAGAGGTGAGCATACTTCTGTATTGCAGTCCTGCTTTCATTCTTGCTAGCTTTCCACTTTACCTGCATCTTGACTGCCTGTATTGCATGGCCACTTGGGCACCACACCACCCATCCTCGACGGAACACAGTTGTGCACCCACTAGTGTGAATTAACTGTGCAGCTGTTTTTCGTGCTTACTTACTAATTAGCTCAACATCACGCTATGCTCAGCCTTTGTACTTACCTATTCTAAAAATTCTGAAATTATTCGCAGCAATAGAAAATAACTGCTTAACAATTACACATGCCTGTAATCAAATCTTCCATCTTGTGCACTCTCACTTAGGCTGATCCAAAAGCACTGCTAGTTACACACACACACCCACACACACACGCACACACACACACAAAGCCTAAGTACTCTATGTCGAAACTTTCTAAGAACACTAAATGGCATTAAGTTGGGCTGTCTCAGAAAGTTGCAGCGACGAGAAACTCTGCCAGATAAAACACCATGAAAGACAGGTGGCGCTGCCTTCTTCTAGTTCCAGCAGTGTTTCACCGTCATGTTATGGATCTTAGATGCGTCAGCTTAATTGTCAAATGTGGGATTGTAAAAGAAAGATGGTGTTGCATTTTGGTAGAATTGGGTTCAATATAGCAAGTATCAAGAACACTGTTCACTTCAATAGGACATGTGTAAGGAGGGGGCTTTGAAAACCACCTTCTTACGCTAAGCGATAAAGCTATATGGAAATGACACTCTGTCGATTGGGTACAAGTGCTTCAGCGAGAAATCTACCGGTTGAAATTGAGCATTTGTTTTCTCTGCCTGTCGCTAAAATGTTTTTCAGAATAAATGGAGAGCAAAGCATGTATAGGGACCTTTACATGAGAGGGAGAGTGTAACCTTAAGGGCCCTTAAATTGTGTTCATTGCACAAGGTACAGCAAACTCGTAACCTCTCATGTTGCCTCGAAAGCAAAGAGTAGTTCTTCTTTCACTGGATCCGTCGAGCTTTGTGTGTGTAGTGTGCCCATTGATGACATTGCATGCTTGCATGTATTTCTGCAATGTGCATGACATTTTGTTGTTGCTAATAATTGTTAAGTATGGAAGCATGCTTGAAAAATTCTCACGACAGCCATGAGAATTATTGAGACTTGCAAAATTCTATGCTCTGGTTTGCACACTGCGCAGCTAAAGACTGTCGCACACCTTGTTGCTCAGCTCAGTCATGTGATAACAATAATTTCAAGTTGCTGGCATTACTAAAGTGGAACTTATTTTTTTCTTCATATTTCTTCTTATATTGCTCATTGTTCTTGTTTTGTTGAGTCAATTACAGTCAGCTTGTGCCGATTCAAACTCTTTGGAATGCAGGTTTTTCTTTTAATTGGGCATTTTGTAGAGGACAAGCTCTCAAACAAGATTTCTAGTCATTATACAAAGAAAATAAGCCCCCAATCAATGCCACACTATTCGGGTGGGGGGGGGGGGGAAAGATTTTTATTCGATGGAAAACCCATCAGGCACTACGTGGCACAGAAGCTGGTAAGTACCTAGACATATACAATAGTTATGACTAAGAATGAACAGACGGCCATTTTATAACCATGCATCTTCGGATATATGTGCTCCTTAATATGGCTAGATTTAGCCGTGTCACGCGGCTTATGTAGAGGCATCTGTTGAAAGTGCAGAATGCTCGTTAAAGATTTAGTGTTGGCAGTCGCAGCTCTGCAATTTGCCCAACTTTAGTTGAGTTGTCACAAGTCGACTGATGTTATAAATTATATAAAATTGGTCAGTATGAAAGCCTAAGGTGCAGGGGGAAGAGCCGCATGGGTTTGCAGGTTTGATCAATTTGAAGGCTGCTCCGGAGTTTTCCTTAGTACTTTAACAGCACGCTTCTACAGTTACGAGGCTGTCACTGCCTGTTGTTATTTGTTTTTTTTTTCTTTATGCACTTGCTCTTGGTGCTCTATGTACGCTACCTTGTGTTAGTAATAACACACACGATATGGCATCTCTTAATGTTCTAACCACCTTTTAGGAACAGGCTTGGGCACACTACCCAAGTGAATATGTTTATAGCTTTGGGCTCTGTGCCAGTAACAATGGTGTTGTTGGCTATTGCATAAATGAAGTGGCTAGCCTTTTTGCCTAGACTTGCATGCATACTCAGTGCAACGGATCATCTGCATGCATTGCAACAGAGTTCATACACGTGCAGAGTGAGGTTTGGCCCCTCTGAACTGTCAACTTGCTGTTGTGTTACATCGTACTTTAGCCCATCCGTTGCAGAATCATACTGAGAGCCTTGCTGCGATTTTGCACATGTTCATTGTAAAGCAGCAGAATGTTTCCTTGCTGCTAAAACGCCCACTTAGTCTAGTCTAGTGCTTAATAGCAAGTGGGTGGACTCGGAGTTTGAGCCAGTTGACAGCTCTGATGGGGTAGCTCAGCTGTTCGCAAGTAGTATGCACCATTCCGCAGCTTGAGATAGTTGGCTTCATTCTAACTTCGTACGAGCCAAAGGCTCGTGGAAACGGTGTTGCAACTGCTTGCGGGTAGTGCTCGTGTGTGGCGGTTTGCTGCGCACCTAAAGGAAAGCGTGGTGGTGCTTGTGGTTATGGAAATGGTGGTGGTGGCAGCATTGGTGGTGTAAGTGGTTTTAACGGTTTGAAGGAGGGAGTTTTGCATAGCTCATGTCTTGAGAGATGCGAGACAAAGGAGGTGGGTAAGAGATGAGATGTAGCGCGCGGTGTATGTAATGAATTAAAAAAAAAAAAGATGGGAGCAGGTGCCGAGTCCCCCGTTTCCCCTGCAAGTGTTGTGTTCTCTCCCTCCCCGTTTCTCCATGGCGGACCCCTTCTTCTCGGTTGCGCCCCTCTGACCCCGAAAATCAAACACGCCGAACGTGCCCCTGTGCCGATCTGTCCTCTGTCCTCCCTGCCCTCGGGGGGCAGTACAAAGCAAGCATTTCCGTGCCAGACTGCCCCGGCCCCAGAACGGTAGGAACTCATCCGTTTCCCTTCTTCCGCTATCTCCCACCGCAGAGCCCCCAGCTCGGGCCGCCGGCTTGGCAAACAAGCTCCTCTGTTGAGGCTTGATAAAGAGCACTTTTCTTTTTAAACAATATTGCAGTGCCTTCCATCCATGCACTGTGTTATTACGTATTGTACTGCTCTTGGAAGGCACACAAGTTCACTCCATTTGAGTAAACAGAGTTACATGATCTTGGACTTGTTGAATGTATCGCTTATATAGCACCCTGCCTGCACAAATTGTTTTGGTTATTATTCATGTTCCCAATGCACACTGTTTCATAAAGCACAGTGTAGTATAGGTAGATACGCAAGTATTGGATACCTGTAAGATAGGCACAGCATCGTGTCCATTGCTAGATTTGCTCGTATAATCCTATCAATTTTGTTACTATTACGGTGGGTTTACCCCCTCACTCTCCCCTGTTGGCATTCATATTACTATGTGTAGCTTGGCAGCACATCGCTAGTGATCAAAGGTGCACTTGTACTTGCTGTAATTCTTAATTCCTAACGAGTACTTTAAAGTGAAATTGAGACATATTTTTAGCCCAGAATGTTTAATTTGCCACTGCTTTTCTATCTGCAGAAGTGGGAAGCGTTTGAAAAAAACTAACCATTTCTTGCTACTCAGGTGTCTTGCAATCCTTATGTGTGCCCCAAGCTTACTAACAAAACAGATGAGGATGGGGACTCTGCTCCTGTTGTGCATCAGGCCTGTAATTTTTGCAGTGTTTTATAGTTCTCGGTACTGTGGGGCATTTTTAATGCACTATTTAAATTCGAGCATTACGCAGGAGGCACTAAGGTGATAAACTTTTTTTGTATATACGATTCTGCGCTAATGACATAGCTATGAACTAGGAGATGTAAACCTATTGACCAAACAGATAGAGCGTTTTAACTTAACTTCACGTGATAGGCTCATTTTCAAGTTAGTGCTTGTAGATGGTGATAGCTTGACTGTAATAATCTTGAGTGTAAATAATAAGTAGGACTTAAGGCATTAATGAGGCCCTCTGTGCATTATGAAAAAGAATTAAATAAGCATTAATAATTAAGGGGGGTTTGAGAGTAGCTACCTTTCTGAAAGGAAAATGAAGTGGGGTGGGGGTGGTTATGCAGGCTTTCTTGGAGTGAACAAGTAGAGTGATCTCATTTATAATAGGTGGACAGGTGACAGGCAGGCCGTTTCCTGTAGCACCTGTGTGGCGGCCGGTGTTTTCTTTTTCTTTGCCTCTGTGTCCTCGTCCTTGCATCCCTTTGTGTGTCTTGTACCCTCTTGCCTCGGGTGCTGCCCTTCCTGTGACCTCAGGATCCTTTCCATTGTGGCTGACGTGGACACTCTCGGGGGATCCTGCTCAACATCATTCCCAAGTTGGACGACGTAAGTACTGTTCGACTTGTGCAGTGATTCTTGCAGCATGTTGCACTGTGCTGGTGATTCGTGTAAAGAGGCAGCTGTGTTTTCATCGACTTGCTCGCAAAATAATTACCATGACAGGAGTATCTTGTGGGTAGTATGAGAACAAACATAGTGAAGTCACGCTGACAAAATGTTACGTTGTTATTATAAGCGAATCAAGTTTCATGGTACAGGAAATAATTGGGACTGTTACTTACCTTGTATTGGCAAAACTATGTAGAGTGTTTACTATTGCCTTTGTCAGCAGCCCTTCAAATTAAAGCCACAGCTGTAGTCGGAAGTGCTGCGCAATTGAAATGGAAAATTCTTATTTTTTTTTTGCTTGGATCAACGTGCCACTCAGCATAAATAATATTTCATGAAAAGGCATCGCAGTTCTTATATGTGAACTGAATGCAAAATACAAATTGCTTTTTCACTTTTGTGCATCTTGTCCTTTTACTCTACATTGCGTTGATTTTTTAGAGTGAGGCCACGCACTATATAGTCCGTGACCGTAGTACGAGAAGGCTCGAGTATTAACTGGCGTCAGCTAATTAAATGAACACACTCCACTGTGACACTTTTGTTGATGCCCTGTTTCCAATCCAACCAGTGTTCTTGCTGATTTTGTCTCTGTTTATGTAGCGTTCGATGCAGTTTGCTCAACACACTGGCCAGAATGGAGGGTCAGAAAGTGAAATGCGCCTGCTCATGCATCAGAGCCATGCCGGCTGTATTATTGGTCGCGCAGGATGCCGCATCAAGGAACTCCGTGAGGTTGGTCTACTTGTTCATTGTATGGATAAAAAGGAGGCATGCTAATATAGAACAAAAGCAGACCATTCATTCTTACAAAAATATTGACTCTTTTCCCTATGCAGTAACCATTGTGATCACCTGTCTATGAAGGTGTGAAATTCGCACAGTTGATGGCAAGATTTTGAAGATCTAATTTGATCAAACGAGAGTGTTATAATAAATTATAATGGGTTTAGCATAAATAAGTACTGAATAAAAAATTGTACATGCTCAAATTACTCGTGATGGTTACCCACTGGCAGCGAGCATTCAGGCTACAAAATATTTCGAATTTCCTGCTTAAAACTTGGCTTGGCGTCCAATCTCTCGTTAAAAATACTGTACTACCTCTACTAAAGCAATCGTTCATCGCAATTCTTCTAAAAGGGATATTAAGGAACCTTATGCTACTAGAATGTTTATTATAGCTAGCTCAGTTTTCCTAGTCTCCTCCTTGCCGAATTGTGCAAAGAAACGGCAAGAGTAAGTCTCATCTCAAATGAATAACATTGTGTGGCAAAAGGTTGCTCTTGAGCATTAACGGCAGTGGCTTTCCTGTGTGCAAAAAAAAAAAAAAAAAAAAAACGTATTGGAAAGGTTTTTGAAACCTCTAGACTTGTCTTGAAACTCCTGCAAATATGCGTGATCGGCTTTTTTTTTTTTTTTATTCCAGTCCACAGGAGCCAACATCAAAGTTCATGGCAGCTGCTGTCCAGGATCCACTGAGCGCATCGTCAAAGTAACTGGCTCACCTTCAGTGGTGGTGGATTGCATCAAGCAGATATGTGACATTGTTGGACAGGTGAGAAAAACAATACAGTTTGCTAAACAATAACTTTCGTGTTGCAATGAACTCGACAACACTTGGCCAGCATTAGAAAAAAAAACATTCCAATTATTTTTGTGTGCCATCTCTCTCAGAAATTTTAATGGAAACCATCAATGCAGTTGTAAAGGTGTGAAAATTTGGTGTTTTTGCCACTGTGGGGCATGTGACAAGCCTAAGTAGTCAGCCATAGAAGTGGTAGTACTAACCAACCACTACCTGTCTCTTACCTTGCTGGCAGGCCCCGCCACGGTGGTCTAGTGGCTAAGGTACTCGGCTGCTGACCCGCAGGTCGCGGGTTCAAATCCCGGCTGTGGGGGCTGAATTTCCGATGGAGGCGGAAATGTTGTAGGCCCGTGTACTCAGATTTGGGTGCACGTTAAAGAACCCCAGGTGGTCAAAATTTTCGGAGCCCTCCACTACGGCGTCTCTCATAATCATATGGTGGTTTTGGAACGTTAAACCCCACAAATCAATCAACCTTGCTAGCAGCTAGCAATCACGATTGTTCAAAGAAACAGATGCTGCCAGCAAAACTGGTTACTCTCATTAGAGCCCTCCACTCCAGCGATCTTCATATTTATGTCTTGATTTTGCCAAATAAAACCCAGATGTAAAAAAACTCAAAATTTGTAAGTGACCATATGTTTGTATAAAAAGACTAATTTCACTATATAGTTGTGGAAATTGCCAATTTCATCGTCTTTGTAATCAGTTATACAAACACAACTAAGTGGGGGGGGGGGGGATAAAAAGCGATTCAGTATAACCTCATTATAACAGACCTACTTTTCATCGTGAGGAGTACTTTAATCTGTTTTTAAAGGAGCATGTAAAATCCAAGTACTGTTAATATAGACTTTTATGGAAGCCCTTAATGGGTCTGTTATAAAGAGACAACTGGGAGTCATACAAATTTATTCTCAATAGGGCATAAAAAAAATGAAACTTCTAATAGTCTAACCTTGTCACTAGTCACGCGTAACCGAGATAAGAACAGACGAGAAAGAAAGAAGGCAAAAGAAATAAATGACCATTTCTCGACCTCATTTCCTAGATTGCGTACTCTGCCGCTACTCTTCGATTGGCTGCTGCGCGCAATTTGCCTGAGTGCGCAAACGAGTGCCTCTCTGTCTCCTGGATAGTCGCCGTACGTGGCGGATCGTTGGTGGGGCATGGGCGGAGCAGAGTGGCGGGCGTGTTGAAGATGCTTGCACTCGGCTTATTTGGCTCTTGTCTCGTCAGTGTTAGCCGCGCGCCATCTGGATTCTCGAACGCGATCGGACGCATACACGGACGGACACACACACGACTCAGACTGATGGACAGACAGACGCTTCACCCCACTCATTATCATTCACTCCGTGGATATGCTGTGATTTTTTTTTTAAATACCATCTTGAGTTTTTCTGTGGCACTTTTTCTGATTGATTTGAAAATGTCTTCACTGAAAACTATGTACAAGTGCTCTAACATGTTTTTTTGCACCTGCCGACATGGTTTTCCGAAAATCATTGTGGAAGCTCAAAAAAATAAATAAGAGTTTTAAGACAATTTATAGCTTTGCAACAGTACAACTGCCCACCATTATTTTGGGGAATGTATAAGTACAGTGGACTCCTCATGAACGAAACTCGCTTAAACGAAAATGCCTCATTAACGGAACTAAACGGGCTCATATGGCTGGATTTCTATGTGTTACGCAGTAAAATTCTTCGGTTAATCGAAATAGCGCTCATTAGTCACCTGCAGTTAAATGGCACAAACTCTAAACACAGCATAAACTCGCTCATGCCAAAGGTAGTCTCACAACCATGGCAACACCTCGAGATCAAGACAAGCCAATCCAGTAGGCATTCTCGCTTGTGGCTGTGGGAGCCGAGTCGGCGAGTGAATTGTTTGTTGGGCCTATTTGTGGTGCTAAGTGTAGTGGGTCACGGTGTTATTTTAGCCCGTTGGAAAGGAAGGGGCCGCACCATGCACTCTCGCTTGAAAAAAAAGCTGCAAATTCTTTAGGAGCTCGATCGAAGCGGCCTGCTGAAGATGGAGGTAGCGAAAAAATACATCCCGAAATCGACGCTGTCGCGGATGTAGAAAGACATCCGCGACACGGATGTAGAAATGATTGAAGGCACTGTTAAAATGGGACCTTTACATCTAAACGGATGCGAACGCCGCCTTAGGAACAACTAGAAAAGTTCTTTTTTTTTTTTTTTTTGTGTGGTTCAAGCGTGCATGGAGTTCTAATTTGCCCATAAGGGACCAATTCTCAAGCAGAAAGCTCGAGAGATCGCCATGCAAATGGGTGTTAAGAACTTTGTCCTAAGCGACGGATGGCTCAGCCGCTTCAAAACACGCCATGGCCTAGTCTTCAAAGCAATCTCGGGTGAGAAAGGTGCAGTCAACAGGGACATTTGCATCGACTGGCAACAGGGGCGGCTTAAGGAAGTTTTGATGAGCTTTGAGCCACGAGACGTCTTCACCGTCGACGAGATTGGTCTTTTTTTATAGGGCGCTTCCATCGAAGACTCTCACCTTCAAAGGCGAAGCCTGTAGCGGAAGAAAACGCAGCAAAGATCGCATCACTGTCCTGGTTGGTGCAAACATGGCAGGAGATGAGAAATATAAGCTGTTGGTGATGGGAAAATCAAGGCAAGGCACCCACGTTGTTTCAAAGGCGTTCAACATCTTCCCGTTGCGTACCATGGGAACGGACGAGCGTGGGTGACCATGGCCATTTTCGAAAACTGGATCCAGGGGAAGACGCAAGAACGGTCAGGTTCAAGGACTTGAAGTTGTCACTCTGGAGTTCTTGCCAGCCAATGCGACGGCAGTGCTCCAGCCGATGGATCAAGGGGTTATTCAGAACATTAAAGTTCATTACCGCAGACAATTGCTCCATCAAATGCTGCTTAGAGCAGGAGCGCGAAAACCTACATCCACATTTTGGCTTGTGCCTGGAAGCAGGCGAAGGCAACTACAATACACAGATGCTTTCACCATGCTGGCTTTCAAGTGCAAGAAAGCAGTACTTCATGAAGAAAAAAGCCCTGCTGATGTTGACATTGAGACAGTATTCAGTCAGGTCGTGCCCTCTGCCCCTTTCACGCTGCCTGCTGATGTCGACATTGAGACAGTATTCAGTTAGGTCGTGCCCTCTGCCCCTTTCACGCTGCAGGACTTTGAATCAATTGATGAAAAGGTTCGTACCTGTCGTGAAGAGACTGTCGAGGAAATGATTGCAGAAGTGCAAGATGAGGATGAACCTTACAGCGATCATTGTGATGACAATGCTGTCAGTGGAGTGGTGTCACCAGACCGATCAGGTAAAGAGGCTGTTGAACTTTTGCAGCGCTAGTTTGTCAGGCATGGGTGTGTACATTGTGAAAAAACAACTCAAGCTAAACAAACCACTCTTCACTCCTTTTTTTCTCCTACGCATCCTCTTGAGTAAGGTAAGGTTTTTGCAATTTGAATAAAGGCCTTGGTTCACTGAATAAGTGTATTTTGCTTAAATGAAACTTCTGATAAATGGAACAGTTTTATGGATCCCCTTCAAGATTATTTAAGAGGAGTCCACCGTATTTCGTAAAGAGCGTTCTATGTCCAAAATGCAGATGTTTGAAATTAGTTTCGAGGCCTCCACTTGGCTGCTTCTGTAGTGTTGCTCCAGTACGACTCGCTAGCTCAATGCTCATTTCAGCATACGCCTCCAGGATAGCGTCGTCTGCGTATTTTGCGTTGCAAGGTCACAACTGACTAAAATCGCTCTATTTAGTTTTGTTTTCGTACTCGTTTTGTGTTCACGGGCCGACTTTAATTCACGATACAAATACGCCTCAGTTATGAAACCAGCAAGCGGAAGTTCAGTCATCAGATTACGATCGCGTGCCACACTCATCATGAACATTGCACACTCGAGTCTTGAACCCACTCATAGTGTTGATTCGTTGGCGAGAATTTTCATCTTATCAGAGCTTCGAACCTTTTGGTGAGGACCTCCGCGAAATGAACCTTTGCAACACGTGAATGCCACGGCCATGCACATTGAAGTCGCGCTTTTTGCTTGAATTCGTGCCTGCGCCTAACTCCACCTGAAACTTGGCAGGCAACGCCGCTGTGCTAGGGGATATGCAAAAGCAAAGAAGCCGTAATGTGCTTTGTCACAAGCAACGGATCACATTGGCTGCTGGCTACTTAGAACTGCGAATAGGCATTTTGCGTGTCGGTAGCAAACCCATGCCAAGCTCGCCATGCACCTATAGCTCGGAACAGTGTTGGCAGCGGTCAGCAATTTCACACGTCGGTGCCTCAATACGCTGAAGCAAGCACGCTGTGCGTCTATTTTATTGTTGCTGTAGCTAGGAATAATTAATAATTAACAGACCGGAGATCGACGGCCTTTGTTTTTGATTTGCTACGTCGATATTTGTGGCGCTGTTTCTAGAAAGTAGCAAAATTTTAAGTCTGAAGCCGTAGAATTTAGGATGTCTGTGCTAAAAAAATTTTCCTGTAAGGGACTGTTGCTGGCCTCACATTTTAGTCAACTATATCCGAATGTTCGTTGTACCAGGATTCGTAGTAAACCAAGCTCAGTCAATGGAGCAAATAGGAAGATCGGCATAATGCCGCCAATTAGTATATAGTATCCATATGCCTGTTGTAAGCGAATTCGTTGTAATGAAGTTATACTGTATTGCCAAAAGAGTGTTTGTAATTTTGACGTCATTGAGGCATACTGAACCCCATTTGAACATAAGCGTGCACCGTTCTACTTGTAGGCTCCTATCAAGGGTCTGAACAAGCCGTATGACCCCCACAACTTCGACCCTGAGTTTGCCCAGGAGTATGGTGGCTTTTCTGAGGGAGCCACAGGTGGAGCCTCTGGAGGTGGTGGATCACTTTCTGGGATGTCCGTCGGTCCAACTCGCGGTAATTTATACTTATCTGAAGTCTTGAACCTGCTCTTGCAAAGAAGTCCTGTAATCTGGCAGATTGCAACTCGCGGGTAATTTATACTTATCTGAAGTCTTGAACCTGCTCTTGCAAAGAAGTCCTGTAATCTGGCAGATTGGATCTGGCGTTTGCAGTTACTGACCCGAAATACGTTGGTGCTCATTTCAATTGATGTAAAATGCTAGAGGCTTGTGTACTGTGCAGTGTTGCTACCCATTACCCCAGATGGTCAAAGTTATCTAGAGCTTTCTACTGTGGTGTCTCTTAGGTACATTAAAGGGGCAGACTGGTGTTTTGAACCAAAAAGTGAAAAAAAAAAATCATTTTTTAAAATTAACATATTTGGTTTCGGCAAGTATTTTTCTATCTCCCAGCAAATTTTGACACACCAGGAAGGTGTGTAAAAATTTGTCAAACTGCACAGGGTTATGCAGGAAAAACTGCATAACCCTGTGCAGTTTGATCAAGATCACTGAAGAAATAAACAAAAAATGTCTAAGACCAGTGTGCCCCCTTAAACCTCATAAACCAAACAGCCAACCAACAAACTAACCATTTTTGGCATTTATATTTTCACATACTGCGAAATATGTATTTGGTGGTCTTGATGGGCCATTTAAAAATTATTGAAAGAAATTTACTTGGTGTGCAGGGAACGTTTCAGAAAGAAGACTGATAGGGCAGCTAGATAGGGTGTCATACAGTTTGTACTGAAACGTTTCCTGCACACTAAGAAAGTAAATTTCTTTCAAAAATTAAATACCAACCAGCCCATGTAGCCACCCTTTTCTATTTAAAAATGTTTTCTCTGGACACATGGTTCGTTTTCAGACACTTCACTTGTCCCCCTACTCCTCTCTTCTGTTCAGAACTTTAGTTCAGTGCTTTAGTGGCAGTTCGCTTTAGTGGCAGCAGTGAACTTCGATTTTAAGGGTGCAATCGCGATCGCTGGAGCGCGTGATATCTCAGCAAGCATCAGTATTTTCAACGTAAAGAAACTGTGTGATAAGAGAATCTTTAGTAGGACTTCTGCGATATTGGATCTAAATGAGTTGGCTGCTGGCTGTATACTTCGTATAATATTACAATATATTGCTATCACATTCATTGTACTACATTCAACGCGTCGCCATGTTGTTGCCCCAAGCTACCGTATTTACTCTATTCTACCGCGCCCTCGATTGTAACGCGCACCCGGTTTCCACGACGAAAAAAAAAGAGTAAGACATCGATTGCAACGCACCCATTTTTCTCGTTGGCCTGCACGATCACACCACTCCGGAAAACGACTCCTTTGGGGAGCGTCTTCCGTTTAAATATGAGGTACGGGGGAAGCTTGTGCCTATCTGACGTGCAACAGAGCATTGCCGTCATTCTAGTTTTACCGTGGCCCGATGTCAGCACGGGAACTTGCTTCGCCTTCTTCTCGACGGTTGTGGTGCCAGGCATGTCGAAGTAAAGAGGCGTCTGATCGACATTCCCGATTTGCCCAAGCAGGTAGCCGTTGTTGCGCCGCAAGTTTAGGACGAACCTCTGAAAACTGTGAAGCTTTTCATCGTACTCCTCCGCAAAACTTTTCGCATATGCATGTTCCCCTTCGGGGGGAAAATCCTTTCCTCTTCATAAAGTTAGTTAGCCAGCACCTGCTCACTTTAAACTGGCTCCGCATTAGACCTTTTTCTAAGACTAATTGCATAGCCCGCACTTGGAGCAGTTCTGTCGTCACGGGCCGCTCACTGCTCAATCACACACTCGCCGAGCAGCTCTTCAATTTGCAGAAAGCGACCCTGCTGTGGTCCACTGAAGCCTTTGTGTGAATCTTTGCTGTTGACAATATTCTGCTTTTGTTTCCGCCAGCGCTGCGCGCACGTTTCGGGAAGTCCGAACGACCGCGATGCGGCCCGATTTCCGTCCGTTTCGGCACACGCGATGACTTTTCTTTTAAAAGCGGCATCGTGGTGCACTCGTCGGGTTTTTGGAGTCAGCCCTTCTATTCCGTCGATGGTAATGCGCTACAAGATGACAAACTCTTCAACACAAGTACGAAGTGCCGCCCATGGGAAACACATAGGCAGAAATGGCCGACGCGCCATGCCGACGACGTAGGGGGCGGCCATTTTGGAAATGCCGGTGGCAATAGAATGACCGTATTAATTTTTTTTTTTCGTACTTGATTCTAACGCGCATGCGATTTATGAACTCGCTTAACCGGAAAGAAGGTGCACGTTAGATTCGAGTAATTACAGTAATCCCGAAGGCTATGGTCTCGGGAACTCTCGGTGCGGTGCAGGACGGGAACGCATGACGAGTCGACGTCCGAAAATTCGCTGTTGTCTCCATGGTCTCAGCACTTTATCAGCGCCTAATCTGACATCTTTTCAGCAGTAACAAAAAAGAAAAAAAGCAAAGCTGAATGTCATCGGGGGAGGGGGCAACCATGCGCGCAAACCATGCATGCATACATGGCATCAAAAATGAAAAGCAAACGATGTGGGTACGTGGTGGAAAACTATTCGGTACAGCGTTTTCCATACGTAGTGCAGCCCAACATATGTGACGCTAACTAAAAGCGTGGCATTGAAACTCAGAAGTAGTGGGGGGGGGGGGGGGGGGGCAATAACAAGTACTCGCCCTCACCTGGGAGTCGCCGGGGCCACAAGCACATCACCTCCGCTTCGCGCTTCGGCGGCTGGCCAACCGTGGAAGATGCTCCTGCCAAAAATGACTAAATCCAGGGCAAAATTTCTAGATTGTCCGTGGCGAAATTTCGTCATATGTATCAAGGGGTTCTCCTGCTGTTAATTTGTTACATAGGGGTCTCAAATACAGGTGCTTTTATGAGTAACGGCGGGGAATCGAAGAACCTCGTTATATCGAGGAATTCGGTATATAAAAGTTCGTTGTAAGCAGGTTTAACCGTATCAGTGTTAATAACCGAATGGCAAAATCTGGCCAGCAGATAACTTTTCTGTTTGTATCGACTCATCGGTGAGTTGTCGGTGCTTTTCAAAAGCAGGGCGACGCCAATCTGGGATTCAGTTCCACGGAATTTAGGACTGTGGTCTTTTCATAAAGCATTGACGCCCATTTGTGTGTCATATGCAAAGTCTGCAGAAAAAACGAAAAAAAAAAAAAACGGGCATAAAATGTCACCATGCTGTGGTGTCTGTAATATCTCATTCGTGTCCCCTTGGTGGCAGTGCTATGCTTACGTTTTGATTGTAAAACTGCCTGCCCACTTTGGAGATTTAAATGGGAAAATATTGTACATGAAGGAAAATTTTGCTTGAGGGTTTTTTTTTTTTAACAGTAGATGTAGTATCCCTCTTCAAGGGTCCATTTCCAAGTGTGTCAATAGTTGAGATGAATGTGCGTTACTGTTGTTTCACACTCTCTCTCTTATGCCCCCGACCTCTTTTTTTTTTTTTTCTCCTTCCAACACTTTTGTGGCAACCGGTAGCAGCAGCAGAAGTGGTGGCAGTATGTCCTTTTGGCGTGATGAGCCCGTGGATGCCTTTGCCCGAGGAGGCAGAGGCCCCAAGCGTGGACCTTGGGAGGCTAGCCCACAGCTGCCCCCGCACGCCTTCGCGGATGAGCCAACGCGCCCCTGGCACTCCCCGCCATCGCTTAGCTCTGGTGGCATGCACAGGTATGCTGTTACACCCCTTTACCCCCCAGAGGACAAGCACAACTTCGACCTGCACCTCCCCCCCCCTTCTCCCTTCCTGATTCTACTAAGCGATTCCACACTGCTTGCCACGCTAGCATCATCGCATGGCCGACCACCATTGAGCATCTTGGACTGTTTTTGGCCCGTTTTTATAATACTCATGTACCTTACAGGCCACAAAATTGTACAAGTCAGCTTATATATTTTAGGCATTTTTATGAATGTATGCACACAGCGTCATCAAATTCATACTATTGCTCTCATACCAGAAAATTTTGAAATTGTTCTCTTTGTGGCAAGGTTCTCCCTAATAGCAGTGCTGCTTGTACCGTATTTACTCACGTAATGAACGCACTCTCGTAATAAATGCACCCCAACCCCAGTGGTTCGCCAATCGACACTTGGCACCTCCTTGCCTGTTGATGTTCTCCTTTTTTCTTGTGGGGCTGAACTACCCCCTCCCTGGCCGGCTGCCAGGCGCAGTTCTTTGTATTGATTTCTATCGGTGCATGGCACGTCCCGTCTTTTTTTAATTAGCTGTGTGCCTCAGCGTGGTGGATGAATGGTGCGAGTGTAGAGACAGCTCACAGCATGTCAGCATCGCAGCTCACAGCATGTCAAAATCGCCAAACTGCCTGCGCCAACCAATGGTCACTTGCAAATACGAAACTCAAGGCCCAACCACATGCATGCGATTTCCGAGTGATGGCGGCAAGATCTGCTGTTTCAAAGGCCATCCGTTGCTGTCACACGTAGGTTTGTCACGAGTTTCTGGAAAAACAGAAAAAAATCGATTGTCGCCCAAAAAAAGAGCGTGGTGATTTCCCTAACACGGCAGCAACCCCAATCCTCGCTTCGGTAGCGATTTGTTCTTCATGCTTGTTATCCGCACATACATCAAGAACACTAGATATAGCCCCTCCCCCTTTTTTTTGCAATCGCATCTCACATGGAGAGCGTGGCAGTTGGCCGTATTTTGACATTAGTCTTGTTATTGACGGTTCGTTTTGGTGCTTTGCTTGGGTGGTAGCAATGCCAACATCATCGTGCGAGTTTGCTAAGTGCTTCATAGCGTACGCGACATAGGTTTCCAGGTGCCCCTTGAGATCACAGCATATGCAACTGTTGCGGTTAAAAAAAAAATCATGAAAGATTAAGAAGCTGCGAAACTCATTTATAGAATGCACATGGGCAGCTTGCAGAAGAGAGCGCCATGAACTACTGAAGGTGAGTCAAGTGCTATGAAGGAGCTGTTTCCGAACGGCGTATGCATATGTTAATTTAGAAACTTTGGGCTAACTTTTTGCTTTACCGCATATTTTGCTCATCCAAAGTTTTCGTAGAATTTGCCCCGCAAAGTAAACGCACCCCCTAACCTTGCTTCAATTTTTCGGGGGGAAAAAAGTGTGTTCATTACGCGAGTATAAACAGTGCGTGCACAGTCTTTATAGCGTAATGCTCTTTTCTGTTTGTGTGCATCTATACCACAGTGTTTAAATGTGTGCCAAAATAAACGTAATGCATCTTGGAAACTCTGTGCATGTGTGCTTCTGGGAGTGGTGGTGTCACAGCATGCCGCTGCACGCTTGTACTTTCTTTGTCTTCTCTCTTGCCCAAGCAGTATGCTGTCCTTGCTTTTAAACAGTGTTGCTATATTTTTGTTGGCATTAATTTGCATAGGAGGTTCTTCATAATTCAAGCTCAAGGGCACCACAGGATTTTTGAAATATCGGCTCTCATAGGTATGACTTGAGGCAACATATGACCTTTATTTTTAATGTTTTCAGGCGTCGGCGATCATACTGGTGCACATTATTAAGAGGAGACACTGCTCTTACGAAAAGTTCCTTACTTTTTATATTTGGATGAAACTTGGTGAGCTTGCGTATATATGTGTGCTGATTTTAAATATGCAGTTATATTTTTTGTGTAAAATGTAGTTTTTAAACTAAAATATATTTCATGAGCCTTCTGGAAAGCAAGATTTTTTTTTTAACAGAGTTACAAAGCAAGTTGACTTGTCACAACACAGACTCTCGTTAGGGGGGGGGGGTGGCACACGAGTGTTAGAAGGCCAAAAATCACAAAAATAAATCAACTTTTTGAAGTTGACAATTTTGGAATCTGTACCTATTTTTGCACCTATCTGAGAAGTTTCTAGCTTCTCGCGTCATTATTTCTGGTGCAAAATCAATTTATAACATCCCTGTGAGATGAATGTGAGTGCAAATTGACGCTAAAATCGTGCTTTTTCATCGCCGAACTGTTGCCGTTACACACGAGCTATCGTGTTCATCTTGGTCTCGTTTGGAAGGGTAGTTCTTTATCTTCAGTTTCCCACCACCACTGGCTCGCCTTGCTCATTGGTTTTTCAGCAAAAATGCGTTATCAAGAAGCACTATCACGCGATTCTATTCGTTGTTTGAGGCACGTGACAAAACCGAGGCATCCGATTGGCCAAGTGGCGTTTCCGGCGTCTGCGTCACGATGGTGACGCGCACGGACATGTGCCATTCTGTCATGATGCTGCTGTCTGCCTGCGGCAGTAAAGAAGTTCCGTGCTACAGTAATTTGTGAAGCGTGTGTGGCGATTGTTCATTTGCTGTGAACTTCAGAAAAAGCCCCGCCATGGCTCAGGGCAACAAGGATAATGAGCTCGCCGCGGTCAGCGGCGTTCGCCGAGTCACCGGTGTAGGCCTAACTCACGTACGAGCCTGTTGGTTGCCGACAACGTTACTGAGAGCGGCTTTGTTTTGCAGCCTTATCAGTTAGAGGACTGCTAGTAAAAAGCAGAGGTGAAGCTACAAGAGATATCAATCTTTGTAGTGACGGAACGGAAGCGCAGTCTTATCGCTAAACGCGCTGGTGCTGCGGTCCCCCCCCCCCCCCCCCCTCCCCGACAAAAGGACCTTGAATTGCGCGACGGGTCGTCAGAGTTTAGTACGGCGCACGTCTTCGAACAACAGAAAGTCAATCTGTTTGCGGTGGGAACGTGCTCGCCGTTCACGCAATGGAGGCTACTGGCAACAAATAGACTGCTTTTAACGACGTGTTCGCAACGTTGTCACGGTCTCCACTCGAAAATGCGGCAGTCTTTCGTGAAAAGGAAACTTAACACCTCGGCACTCGTGCAGCCTCAAAATTGATAAGCGAGGGAACAAGTTTGGTTTGTGACATTTACGGGTAACTCATTCCGAACAAGCCCGAAAAGATCGCCGTGCAATTCAACAGATCCTGGATGATGCGTGCACATTCGTCGCACATCGCCATCACTACAGTCACCGAACTGATAAGCAGCCTTGGGGGAGCCGAGCACGACAACTTGCTACAGGACTAGAAGAAACGACACGCTCCTGCAACCAGTCCTATCACATTTCCAGTGCATATTAACTGACTAAATGTATTTGGGCCATGATATTTTTCACTCGGAACGACGAAATAAAGTTCTAATATCATTTTTCTCGAAGCACAGATTTTGACCACTTTCTTTTGCTTATTTTGGTAAAAGTGGACCTAGAACAGCTAGAGCTGTAATTGTCTTTGCACAATGTAGCTAAATATGCACGAAAAACAATGCCGAGAGCCGATTTTTAATGGGCACCTTCATTTTTTTTAATATAAATATGTTTGTTTTTGGTTACACGTAATTAACTTTATTGCGCTGTAATTGCAGAAGTACTCGTTCAATTTTCGATCAGTTTCTAATTCTAAGTACATACATTTTTTTCGGTTAAAAATGTTAAAATTTCTTGTTTTTTGATTTTCTCAAAATGACAATTTTGTATACCCTGCATGAAAATTCCTGCAATATATCAGAAACTATTACAGATAGCAGAATAATTTTTTGCAGCATGAAGCTATATGTTTGGAGCACACAACATAGGAAGCAGATTTTGATTTCTCTTTATGAAAGTTTTTCAAATTAGTCTTTTGTGTGACCACACAACGGCCACATTCAGAGCTATTAAGTTTTGTAAATTCAAAAATAATGACCCAATCAAAAAAGTTCTTTCTGTGTTCTGTAACTTGTGCTTTTTACTGTTGATCCCTATGCTATTTGTAAATTTCGGGCTGGTGGTTATTTCTCCATTGTAGCAGGAACAATAGATATTGTTATCCTAAATTAATAATGAACTAATGAAGCTACAGAAAAAATAACATTTTTAGAATCTGGAGAACAAACTGAGCAAGTATGCCAACTTTTGTCACATTTGGTTCAAAAATAAATGAGAAAGCCCTGAAACCTATGTCCCCCCTTAAACGGAACCTGAAGGAACCAGGAAAATGTGTTCTAACAGGAGTTTAGTTGTTTACTGAGAGATGAATAAGGCTGCAGAATGCAAGTCAGAATTCGAGACTTGAGAGACAAGTTATAAGCAGTTGTTCCATTTAAGTAGTAGTTTCGTTTAACAGATTCCCATTTGCTGAGAGTCTGCTGTAATCTGGAATCTAGAGTGTGTCCAGTGCAACAAAAATGGATGTTCTAAATCAGTTTCAACGCATGTTATGGTACGTTGAACATTTGTGTGCGAGTCGATTTCAAGCCAGAATTTCGCTAACAAGTGTTCAACATTCTATAACTTTTCTTCTAGTTGGTTGAGAACATTCATTTTTCTTGCACTGCAGTCAGCTTCGATTTGAGATTTTGGTATGCTTATTTACTTTGTAGCTTTTTTGTTTAGATATATTTTTCTAACATATTATCTGTACCGCCCCCCTTACACAATGCCCTTCTAGGGCTCTGTTAGGTACTGTAAATAAATAAAAAAATAAAATCTTGCTCCCCAAAAGGCACATGAAATAATTCGTACTTTAAAAGTACACCTAACACAAGAAAAATAATTGCACATTTGAAATCAGCACACATATATACATACAGTTGCCAAGTTTCATCAAAATTGATCTAGAATTAAAAAAGTTTTTCAAGTGCCATTCATGTCCCCCCGGCACGTGTTTGCCTGTGTGACTGTGTGCCTCCT